GGATGTCTTGCATGTGCAGATTCTGTGAACATGCATCCCCCTTTCACATGATAGAGACCCTGAGCATTGCAGGCGGTGCGACAAGGAGGACTACCATTGGGAATGTCCTAGCTGCAAGAAGAACTACGGCCAGAAAAAGCCTGGTCACCTACGGACACCCGGTTAATGCAAGCTTGCCAAACCGTGGAAGCTGCCCGACAACCGCGGACAGGTACCACAGGCCCCTGCCGAACCGGCAGCAGCACCACCCGAGGCGCAGGCCGCGCCACCACTTGCGCGGCTACGAGCACCGACCTGAGATCCAGGGCTGGCCCCACCAGCCACGACATTGCAGTTGGCAGACATGCTGCTGAACCTGCTGCGGGGCAGCCTGCCTCGATTGGAGCTGGTAGCTCGGACGATCATAGACGACTGCCACAGATCAGAGCCAGACGTGGCCGACAGCAGGGAGGAGATCCACCTCCAGCACTACCTACGGGTAACCCTGCTGCACGCCCACGACTCCCAGACTGGCCAAGGTTCGATGTCCAAATCAGCCGCAGAACTTACGAAGCCTTGACCCAAGCGTGGTGACACGTGAGTTGCGGAAAATGCTTTTGCGATGGTTCCATGCTAAAGAGCCTAAGACGAGACTCATCTGAACCAAAGCTGGTCTGGACAGCGTCAGGCTCAATCTGATCAAAGGCGTTTGCGACACATGTCGGGAGTGCAGGGCGCGGGATAAGCTGGGACACACCGTTATGCCGTCCACTGCACTACCTGGCAAGTTCAACGAAGAAGTTGAATGCGACCTTTTGTTTTCCAAACATAAGCATATTAACTTTTTTTTCACATAATGGATCGCTGTATTCGATATGATACTGGAAGGGAGATATCAGATAAAACAATGACCAGTATCCTAGACGCGTATCATCAGTGTTGGATGCAGTTCGGACTTTCTAGGGCAGTCTACTCCGATGGGGGGGGTGCCCTCAATAACGACACTGCAAAGGCGGCCCTCAAGGCAAAAGGCATTGAGCTGAGGACGCGCGCGCGTGGACAACGCGCTATGACCACTGAAGCCAGACATTGCATATTACGTCATCTACTTCATGTCATGGAAACTGAAGTCAGAGGGTTGGACATACTTCTTGTGTTCACACGGCTACTGCACGAAGCCCTGTTTGCCGCCAATGCATTCACCTTCTACAATGAGGTGTCTCCATATAACGTTTTGTTTGAACGGCAACCGGCAATGCATCCTGACCTGCCTGTTCTGGATCACGAACAGCCGACAGAGACGCCCGACCATTCTCGAGAACAGGTGATACGCCGGGTACGCATTGAAACTATCACACAGGCTACTGCAGTAGCCAAGACCAATCGTGCACCACGTATTAAGACAACCATTACCGGTCAGCATTGTTACGATGAAGGAGATTTGTTTGATTATCATCGTCCCACAACTACGGAGGGCGACTGGGGAGGCTGGAATGGCCCGTTCCCGGTTTCACGGAATGATCCCGACAGGGGCCAAGGCATCTTTCGGGTGGGAAATCGCGATGTACTAGTCCAATATGGCGACGCACGACATTCAATTTACATAAAAGGTTTGATAGCCAGAGACATTGGCTCTGACAGCACTGCCTTGCGGACAGTGTTGACATTGATGCCAGCCTACCTGCGGGGAGGCTTTCTACGACGTTTGGCTATGTCCCGACCAAAAAGGGAACGCTTTAGATGACCAGTGCGAGCCGACAATCTCCCAAAGTACGTTTCGTTTCACAATGCCTTATCAGAAACTTCTTCCGCATCGAGAATGTAGGTTCTGTTAGGTTAGCTAAGAGTATCCACGAGCTACCTCCGGTGGATGATGCTGACAGCTGCGCATTGGCGCATTGTGAATATAGGCTTCCACTACTATGAAGCAGAAGGCGCCGCCCGGAATATTCATGGTATAACTGGATCAGCACATTCGAGAATCATGCAGCGCCTAAAGTCCACAAAACCTCAGGCGGGCTTCGACCAATATATGACAAAGTTCGAGGAGCTGGTGGACATACCGACACAACACGATGACGCCAGAGAGGCTCCAGAAGCCGAGCCTCCACAGGAGGATGGACAGCTTCCCACGATCTATGAGGAATCATAAGCGGACCTTGGGGCACGCATTATGGAGGTGCGGCGCGCAGAATTACGCGACGAAAGAGAACTATGGGAGGCAGCTCCATTAGGTGACCTTTACACTGTACCCGCGCATATGATCACCGACAACAGTGCTGGCCACGGTAGCTGAAGAACAGCGGGTGCACTGGCCAAAGTGGGGTTATCCACGCGACTCCGACATCGAGGAGACGCCGCGCAACGAGCTGCGGTTGTCAGGGAAGACGACCTCGCGAAGGCCGACATTCAGGCGAATCCCGAGAAGGTATCCAAGGACCTATATATTGAACTCAAGACATGGTTTGTCAACAAGTGTGTCAATATTCAAGATATATCTGAAGCGTCGAGCATCGTGACTTCGATGTACGCATATAAGTGGAAGTTCGTGAAAAACGAGAAGGGCGAGATGGAGCGCGCCATCTGACTACGCCCAGTACTGCGGGGATTCATGGGCCTCGAGGCTTTCGACGTGGAAACCTCCTCAGGAACAGCGCGGCGGTCGAGCCAGAGATTACTCGCGAGCACGGCAGCGTGCGAGAAGCAATGGATCATTGCTTCCCTTGACATCAACATGGCTTTCCTGAAAGGGTTAACCTATCAAGAACTTGCTGAAGCAACCGGTGAGCAGGAACGCGCGGCGCGCTTTACCTTGCCGCCTGGATCGGCAACAGCGCTTCGATCCCATCCAGGATTCGAGCACTACGACGAGTCGAAGCACTGCCTGCAGTGCCTCAAGCCAGGCACCAGCACTAAGGATGCACCCGGAGCTTTCTCACTGAAGCTCAGAAGGACCACGAGAGGCTTCGGTCTCAGACCCACGTCCTACGACGAGGAGTTCGAGACGAGCAGCAACCTGCTCACAGCCAAGCATGTTAATGATATTGATATGGCGGGCACTCAGGACACCGTCGACAAGTGCGTCAAGTGGGTCAAGGACACTTTTGGTAAGTGCAAACTCAACAAACATACATGTGCCAACTGTACTGCGAGGTGCCCCAAGGATGGGGGCGGCAATGTTACAGTTGACAAAGATGGATACATCAAACATCTCCGTCCTATACAACATCCTGAACTCACGGGCGCAGATGCTAACGCCAAAGCATCCACGATGCTTGCTGACATCCTCACCAGCCTCAGAGGCGCGTTGGTTTACGCAATAATCGCACAAGTATTGCTGATAGTAAATGCGATCTCTCTACAATATGTCCAAGAACCGACCAATATACAAGTGCGACGGCTGAGCGCGATTACCAGGAAGCTGCAGGCCTGCGCTGAGAAGATACTTTATCAATCGATGACTCCAACGGGCGAAGTTGACCTGCGCAGCGACTCCGGCTATCGACGCCTGAGTGAAGATGCCGATGACGAGGTCAGCGGCTACAGCATTCGCGGGGCAAACCTGCTACGACGTGGAAACGCGCCATCCGGTAAGCCTGCCGTCCAGTTGATCGATGCGCGCTGCAAGTCTCACCGCATGCAGGTCCGCTCCAGCTATCCAGCAGAAACACTTACAGCAGCCCACAACTTGGAGGACTGCTATCGTACGATCGTGACTCTGCACGAGCTCCATGCAGGTCCACTGACACCCACTCAGTTGAGCATTCAGGTCACTTTGGCCATAGATGCTGAACATGCCTTCAAATCCTTGTCAAGCAAAGACCAGAAGAAACCGACTGAGTGTACTCGATTGGGACACATCAGTTGGATACGACAGATGCTGGAGCGAGGAATCTTGCATAGCATCCAGTGGTGTGACACTCGTGACATGACCGCGGACGGTCACACAAAGGGGAGCATTGACAGAGACATACTCCTACAGGTCATGGGAAGCACGCAATCGTTCAAGCATGGCTTAAAACGTCATGCTCCTTACCGGGTTGGCCAGACAATTTCGTCTGGGGCCGCCTGAGGAGTAATCGTCTGCAGAGCAATGTGTTCGCAAGGCAACTTGCCTGCGGGTCCACCTTCCTTACGGACCCGCTTTCTGCTGCCTTTTATGTATATGGTGTTTGCTGTATAGAGGCGGCGGAGTCACGCCTCGTTTCCCCTCCCCCCCGACTCTAAAGCGAGCTGGGACAACGGCGAGAGATAGCGAGCGTTTGTCCGCGGCCGTTTGTGTGCAAGCGGCCGGCCGCCGGCATATGACTGCGCCTCATTGCGAGGCATACAACTTGCCATCGGTACCGAAAACATCCTTCGCTTGAGATGGCCCGTCGCTCCCGCGACGACTTCCTCCGACTGGGACTAACGTTGTTGCGGGACAAACAGAGCTGGAGCTGCGCTTCGCCTAAGGCGAAGCTGCTGGGCGGGCCTGCCGGCCCCCTTTGAATTGAACGTGGCCCGAACACGGCGCCGGCTGGCCGTCATGGCAGCCTCGGCGGCGTTTCTCTGGCGCCCCTGGGGCGCCGGGGAAAAGCTGAGGCTCAGCCCCAGGCCCTGGATGTCCCGCGAAGTCCCCCAAGGCCCCCTCCAGGCCCCCGATGCCCCTCGAGGTCACCCGAGGCCCCTGCGGCGTGGCCCGAGGCCCTTCGATTCATGTTGAAGTGCTGCGGTCGGCGGGAACGCGCCGGTTTCGTCCAGATTCGGGACCCCGCAGGGGCCCGAAACTCTCGCCTTCCCCACTTTCGCCTCTGCGAGCAGCGCCGACGTCGAGAGTTTGTTCCCGCGCGCACATGTGATTCGCCTCCACGCGCTCACCAGTGTTGCCACGCCCGTGCGAATAATAGCGCGCATGTTTTGCGCTTGTCAACGGAGCAGAGAAGGCGCGGGGGAGCCGACGAGAGGCGAATGCGATTCGGCGCACAGGGCAGATCCGACACGACGAAGGAGCATGAGGGTGAGCGCGACTGTGGTTGAAGGGCCTGGTGCTGCGTGCACTCCGCCATGGGGTGCCCGACCATCAGCAGCTTGCCTTTCGACTGCAACGTGATGCTTGACGAGTTCGAGGTTGGTGGCCGCCCTTTTTCTGCGCGGCATTCGTCTTTGCACATGCCGCCGCACGCTGTCAGCATCGTACCCTCGCGCTCCAGCCCGCCGGCACCCCCTCTGAGCTCTGGCGCGCGCCGAAGACTGGCGGTGATGGCTGTGTGTCCTGGCGCGGCTGTATCTAGTCAGAGCCTGGCAGAGCGAGCCCGTGAGGCGTCGCACTACAGTCGGGGCCCTGAAGAAGGAACCCTTTTCGTTGGGGAGAGGCTCCGCGTTCCTTAAGTGTTTCACAGCTTGCCTCAGGCTTTCCTTTTGTTTTCGACAGGAAATCGAATGTTAACCCATGGAAAAAAGGGGCCTCGTTCCTTATTTACGGTTCCTTATGTCAACGCCCCGACTGTAGGCCAGAGGGCTGCCCAGACCGAGGGTGGGGGCTTCGGGCTTGGCCTGGCCACTGCAAGCGCCCGGCCGAGGGACTCTACGGAGCTTCTCTCCCCAGCGGCTGCTCCCGGCGACCGAGGGCAGACGCTGGCGAGATCGTGCTGCCATTGAGGCTCACTCGCCGATTCGCACCAGGTCCGCCTGCCTACCCTGGCAGCGAAGCCCCTGGTGCAACACCGCCTCCTCAGCGCTTCTCCTGGGAAAGAGCCCCGGAAACCCTGCTCGAACCTTCTGAGAGCTCTCAAGAATCTTCCAATCCCTTCCGCAACACGCCAGCAGCAGGAGGAGAGAGGTTGGAGGAGGGGAACATGAAGAGTAGGAGGAGTAGGGGAAGGAGGAGGTGGAGGAGGAGGAGGAGGAGGATCAGGAGGAGGAGGGGGAGGAGAAGGACGGGGAGGAGGTGGAGGAGGAGGAGGAGGAGGAGGAGGAGGAGGGGAGGAGGAGGAGGGGGAAGGGGAAGGGGAGGAGGGAGGAGGAGGAGGAGGAGGAGGAGGAGGAGGTGAGGAAGGGAGGAGGAGGAGGAGGAGGAGGAGGAGGAGAGGGAGTAGGGGGAAGGGAGTACGTAGGAGGAGGAAGAGAAGGAGGGAGGAGGAGGAGGAGGAGGAGGAGGAGGAGGAGGAGGGAGGGAGGAGGAGGAGGAGGAGGAGGAGGAGGAGGAGGAGCATGACCCCGGCAGACGTTCTATTGTGGATCTTGTTGGGCGCCCAGTAGAGGGGGGGGGGGCAATAAACGGGGGCAACCCGGGAAGCCTGCGGACGTGCGCTGCTTGACGGCGTGACCGCGCCGCAGTCCGTTGATTCGGCTTTCCCGCTTCAGCATTGCGGGCAGGATTCCCAGCACCATCACCGACATCATCCGGAATCCTGCATGCGTGTATACAGACGTGTTTAGACACACACACACACACACACACACACGCGCGCGCGCACGCACGCACGCACGCACGCACCCACCCACGCACCGGCACGCACGCACGCACGCACGCACGCACGCACGCAAGCACGCACACGCACACACGCACACACGCCCCCCCCCACACACACGCACCCCCCCACATACACATATTTATATATACATATGTATACATATGTATATAAAAACATATATATATATATATATATATATATGTACACATATCTATATATATAAATAGAATGGGGCGGGGGTCCTGAGGGCACCAGGGTGCACTGATTTCTCGTCCGGCCGTTTCGGGCCTGTCGGAGGTGCCAGAACGCGTCAAAGGAGGGGATGGGGGGCGACGAGAGGGCCCGAGAGACGTCCAAGAGGGCGCCAAGATGGCCCAAGAGCGCTCCAAGAGAGCCCAAGACCGCCCAAGAGCTTTTCAGAATTGGTCCAATATGGCTTGAAGGCAGCCCAAGAGGGCTTCAAGACGGCCAAGATGCCCTCAAAAGTACTCCCACGAGGAACTCAGGAGGCGAAACAAGTAGGTGCGTTTCGATGGTCGTTGCAGTTGTTGTTTTGTGTTCACGCTGTTTCGTGTTTCCGACTGTCCAGGGCAGTCTTGAAAGAATATTCGGCCGCCTTGGGGCTATCTTGTGCCGTCTTCGAGACACCTTGGGCCATCTTGGTGTCATTACTTGAATGCGCGGGACGTCCTAGAAGCTCGGGACGCGTAGCCATCGCTCTAAATCGAGGGGTCGTGGCTTAGGAGGCCCTGTAGCGCTTGGGAGCAGCGCCTGGGAATACGGAAAGTGCACGATCCTCGAGCGGGTGCACGTGGGATGAGAGCTCTAGGAGGTAGCAGGCATGCGGGAAGTGCGCAATCCTCGAGCGGGCGCGCATGGAATGAGGGGTCAGGCAGCAGCTGCCATGCGGGAAGTACACCGTCCTCGAGCGGGCACGCGTGGAATGAGAGTTCAGGCAGTAGCTGCCGTGTGGGAAGTGAACCATCCTCGAGCGGGCACGCGTGGAATGAGGGAGTAGGCATCAGCTCCCATGCGGGAAGTGCACCATCCTCGAGTGGGTACGAAGGAAGTGGACTCGGAAAGGAGGGGCGGTGCACGCAAGAGTCTGCGTCGAGAGGGGGGGTGTCCCTTATCAGAACACAAAAGACGTTTTACCAGTCAGACCTTGGCATTCTTCCATGCCTCAAGGTGCCAGGGGGCACGGAGGCGGATACACGTCGTTCCCCCCTGTGCCATCCGCCACTCTGCTCTCCTACCTCCTCCGGTTGGCACGAGCCCCATTCGGCGCCATCAAGAACTCCTTGTCCCGACGCCAGGGCCCAACCGGACTCATTGCGCAGCGAGCGCAATAATCCGTGCGCAGCAAGGAGCAAGGGAAAGGGAGGAGCAAGGGAAAAGGAAACAAGGGAGAAGGGAGCAAGGAGCAGGCAGGAGACCATTCCCTGCCCAGCCCTGCCCACCCAGCCTGGGCTGACGTTGGCCTCCATGTTTGACCCATGCTCTGCTCGTCTGCTCGCTTGGCCGGCGACCCCCTTCTCCCCTCGTGTTTCTTGCTCTCCCTTCTCTTTCTGGTTATCCTCAGCTCCTTCTCCTCCTCCTCCTCCTCCTCCTCCCTCCTCGCGCCCCTCTCTGCTCATATTCCCAACCTCTCCTCGGCCCTTTTGCCTCCCCCTGCCCCTCACCCTCTCTGCCTTGAGCTCCCCTGGCGTCCCCCTTCCCTTCCCGTCCCTTCCCGCCTGGGCCAATTCTGCTCCGCTGCGCCCGCAGCTGCACGGCGCAAGGTGAGCTGGCCGGTGGAGAAGAAGAGCTGGACACGCGCTTAACTTGCCGGCGTCACGACGCATCCACGCCTCACTTGTTCTGCTCCTCGTCATCCCTCTCAGCATCCTTTCCCTCTGCCTCGTGTTTCTCTCTGCGTTTGTCCTCCTCCTCCTTTTCCTCCTCCTCCTCCTCCTCCTCCTCCTCCTCCTCCTCCTCCTCCCCCTTTCCTCTCACTTCCTGCTACTGCTGCTCCTCTTTCGTTTTCCCCCTCCTCCTGCTCCTGATCCGAGGATGGCTCGCTCTGAGCTTTGAGGGCTTCGGAGCAGCAGCCGGCGCCGCAGGGCAGCCCCCGAGCTCGTTCTCCGGCTTCCGGCAGAACTCCCCGCAGCAATCTGCTCTAACCGGAAGTGTGTCCCGAGAGACTTCTTCTAAGCGTTTCCCAATACAGTCGGGGCCCTGAAGAAGGAACCCTTTTCGTTGGGGAGGGGCTCCGTGTTCCTTAAGTGTTTCACAGCTTGCCTCAGGCTTTCCTTATAATTTCGATGGGAAATCGAAGTTCAACTTATGAAAAAAGGGGCCTCGTTCCTTATTTAGGGTTCCTTAGGTCAACGCCCCGACTGCACCTACGCCCGGAGGCTCTCCAGAGGCTCCCTTCGGAATCTCCTTCCAAGAGCTCCCCGAGCTCTCTCGAGAGGCCTTTCTTTCGACGGCCTTCTGGCGCCCCGCTATCTGGGTTCGGTAATCAAAACACACACACACTGTGTGAAAAAAACACACAGTCTGTGGGAAAACAAAACACACAGTCTGTGTTTCTTTCCACAGTGTGTGTGTGTGTTTTCCCACTGTGTGTGTGTGTGTTTTTTGTGTGCTTGTTGTACCACAGTGTGTGTTTTTGGTGTGTGTTTTTTCAATCTTCCTTCAGATTCTGGTTTTCGTGGATGGGGGGCGAGAAATGATTCGCGCAGGCGTGGGCATGCGCATCCGGATCCAAGCGCCCGCCCTCGCGGCACTGGACTGCTGTAGCGCTCTCCTGTTCCCTTGGCGATGTCGCTCCACCGCCTCGTGGCCCCGTGGTGCGTCTGCAGAGCGCAGTGGGCGCCGCGATCGCGCGCCCGCGCGCTGGCACGCGCCGACGCATGCATGCAAGTGCAGGCGAGGTTGAACATCGCTGGAAGGCGAAGGCACAGGACGGGCACGGGAGAGACATGTGGCACTTGTTGGAGATGCCACCAGCGGACGAGGGTAGCAGAAGCGCAGGGCCTCGAATGCGTTGCAGCGCCGTGCTGTGGTGAGTCGTGTTGTGAGCGGCGCGAGAGCCGTCTTCCCACCCAGGACACAGATGCTCTGTCGATTCCCCCCCTCCGCCCCGAGTGCACGACGCGTGGCCACGGCGAGACAGAGAAGGCATCTGGTGATCTGTCCCTTCTGTTCCTTCTGCCCCTTCTTCCCTCCCCCTCGCCCATCCCTTCCGGCCCCCTCCTTCCTTCCTCTTCTCGGGTCGGGCGAAAAGGGGGAATAGCAAAGGGGGGGTTCGAGAATCAGCTCACGTAGCTGATTTTCCTGGCGCCTCCCGGCGCCGGAGGCGGCTATGTATCGAGGAATGGGCCCTCGGCGAGGCCGAAACCAGCTGCATGCAGCAAATTTCGTACCCCCCCCTTTCCCAATCCCCCCCCTTCGTCCGGCCCAATGCCCTCCATGCATTTCCTTTCAAGATAGCTCATCTTCGTCTGGCCACCAGGCGTGTCAGTCGGGCGGGCTGGGTGTTTCGCCGGAGATTTCCTTACCATGTATGGTCGGGGGTGGACAGACCTCCTACCCTGACACGTCGATTAAGTATTTGGCCGTTTTCGGTTCGCGAGAGGGCGTCGCGGCCGTTATTTTGCGGGTCTAGGTCCGTCGGTTTCGGTCCTAGGTCGTTTTCCCTAAAGGGAGGTATACTAAAGGGAGGTTTGTCCAACGCCGATATGGATCCTGAGGCCTGGGAATTGCAGCAGCTGACAGGATTCAGGGCGGCTCCGTTTCAAAATGGGGCTCTCGCCCAAGCGCCGCGCACACTCGTTGCAAAGAAACGTGCAACACTCACGTGCCTTGATGGCAGCTCCTTGTCATAGTGTGGCAACCACACTGGCGCCCCACACATTGTTTCTGACTTGTTGGCAACCGTTTGAGGGCAGAGGGCGGCTCCTTTCTGAGTTGGGGCTCTCGCTTGAGATTTCCTTGATTTGGCAAGGGACCTGCTAAGATGCAGCAGCTGCACACATCTGCACACCATGAACACCGATGGCGCACGGTCTTGTTTACACAGCGGGGATCTCTCTCGCTGGGCACTTCGCTGAACTGTATCATCACACATCTTGGCATTTTTTACCCGCTACGAGGATGCAAGTTAGCTTCTTTTTATCGCTGGGGACCTCGCCGGAATGGCAGGCCTACCGGGTGTTGGTGGGTCAAGGGGGGCGCTGTTGGCTGTGACGAGGAAGGCTTGTAGGGACTGATGAGGAGGGGACTTAGCACACGAGGGTGTATTGCAGCATCGCTGGCGTATAGGAAGTAAACTGGTCCTAATCGTACTCCCCATGTCTCCCCTCCCCATGCCTCGTCTCCTCCCTCCCTCCTTCCCTCCCTCCCTCCCTCCCTGCTTCCCTCCCTTCCACATTGGTGGATGTTCGCGAGGAGTTGAGAGGTGGCCACGGTCTGGGTTGTGCTCAATACGCCCGACAGCATGGCGCAGAGTCCGTTTCGTTTTAAATTGCCTTGCTATGTAGTTGCCGTTCCTTTGCCCCTGCGCGCAGAAGCGAGCAGGAAATCGTCATGGATTCTGGCGATGTCTTTTCCCACGCCGTGCCCATCTACGAATGCTACGCGCTGCCGCATGCGACCCTGCGCCTGGATCTAGCCGGGCGGGACCCCACAGAGCACGTGATGAAAAGCCTCACCGAACGGGACTACTCCTCAACCGCCACTCCTGAGCGAGAGGTCGTTCGCGGCGTCAAGGAGAAGCTCTGCTACATCGCGCTCGACTTCGACACCGAGATGAAGGCCGCCACGGAGAACTCCGACAAGGAGAAGACGTACGAGCTCCCCGACGGGAACATCATGACCGTGGGCAGCGAGCGCTTCCGCTGCCAGGACTCGCGCGTCCAGCGTTATCCACGACACCACGTTCCAGTCGCTAATGAAGTGAAATGTCGATATTCGCAAGGACGTGTACGCCAACGTGACGATATCTAACTAGTCGCACCACAATGTCCCCAGGCATTGGCGAGCGCATGACCAGGGAGCTGATGGCACTGGCTCCTTCCACAGTTGAGAACTCGGAAGGTGCCCGCGGGCGCCTGGGAAAGGCACTTTGGCAGGTGCCTGCGGGCAGCCCAGGAGAGCACGCTGGATGTGCCTGCGGGTCCTCCTTCTCGATTCCACCCTCCCATCCTCCTCCTCCTCCTCCTCCTCCTCTCCTCCTCCTCCTCCTCCTCCTCCTCCTCCTCCTCCTCCTCCTCCTCCTCCTCCCCCTCCTCCTCCTCCTCCTCCTCCTCCTCCCCCTCCTCCCCCCTCCTCCTCCTGCTCCTCCTCCTCGTCCCCCTCCTCCTCCTCCTCCGCCTCCTCCTCCTCCTCCTGGGCCACTCGTGCGCGCAGCCGGCCGCCTCGCGGCTCGGAGTGCCCGAGCGCACAGGCCACGGCGGCCATTCGTCGTGCAAGCTCCTGCCAGCTTCTCGGCCGGAGCCCTCTGTCGAAGGCCTGGGCCGAGGCCGGCCAGGCTCCTCGTGCGAGGCATGGGCCTCCTCGTCCTCCTCCCTCCTCCTCCTCCTCCTCCTTCTCCTCCTCCTCCCTCCTCCTCCTCCTCCTCCTCCTCCTTCCTCCTCCTCCTCCTCCTCCTCCTCCTCCTCCTGCTCCTCCTCCTCCTCCTCCTTCTCGTGCGGGTGCTGGGAGGTATCGGAGTGGGTAGGAGTTGAAGTGCCCCGCCACGCAGTTGCCACATCGGCCACTGCGCGCAGGAACGAGCCGGAGGGTGTAAGCCTGCGCCCCAGCCTCACTCCTTCGTTCTCGCTATATCACTATGCTTTGACCCTCCCTCCCTCCGCCACTTCTCCCGATTGCCTGGACGGGCACAGCAAGTCTTCTGTCGCAGCCTTTAGCGTTTGCCGTCCAGTTGCCCATTATGGAGGGTGAGAGTTTTAGGAGTCTGGAGAGAACGGTTGTCCCGAGAGCGGGAAGTTTCCGGTCTGCGTCCCAGCCTTTCCCTTCCCCCTCGTTCTTTCTAGCATTTCCCCTCCCTCCCTCTGCCCTTCCTCCCGAGTGCCATGGACAGGCACAGCGAGTCATCTGTCGCCGCCTGTAGCGTTTGCCGTTCGGTTGCCTATCATGGTGGGGGCAGTGAGGATCGGAGAGGGCTTGGAATTCTTGCTTTGGTTCGACGCGTTCCGTTCGCTCTGTCGTGGGTGTACCGCCGTACTGCATCGAACTTGCGTTCTTGGTGCCTGTGCAGATGTCTCAGCTTTTTCGTCCAGCCAGCTTGACTGACTGTGCTTTTTGAAGCCTTCTGCTAGCTGCAGCGCCGACCTTTCGTGACAGCCGTCCTGGTTCACCACGCCTGCAATCCAGAATCCCTCCCTCCCTCTCACTTCTCCCCTCCTCGCGCCCCGTCCCTCCCCGTCCCTCCCCGTCCTCCCTCGCCCCCCTCCCCTCTCCTCTCGTCGACCGCTCCGTGCAGCGAGCCTCTCCTGCCGAGGTGCTGCACGTTTCAGCAGCTCGGCTGCCCCAGGACCACCATGGCCGCCCTCGCCCGCATCGGGCGCGGGGCTCTCCCGGAGCGGAAAGGGGGAGGGGGAGGAGAGAGGGCTGTGGTGTGCTGAAGATGCCCATGGGTGGGCACGGCCCTGTCGATCTGGGTGGGGAGCACGGGCTCTCCTTATCCTGGAAAGCAGCGCTCACAAAGATTGGGTGCACAAACTTTATCATCCTGAAACCAGGCGGTGGGACGAGGGATGATGATGATGATGATGATGATGATGATGATGATGATGATGATGATGATGATGATGATGATGATGAAGATGATGGTGGTGGTGATGATGATGATGATGATGATGCTGCTGCTGCTGCTGCTGATGATGATGATGATGCTGCTGCTGCTGCTGCTGCTGATGATGATGATGATGATGATGATGATGATGATGATGGTGGTGGTGGTGATGATGATGATGATGAGGAAGAGGAGGAGGAGGAGGAGGAGGTGGAGGAGGAGGAGGAGGTGTTAGATTATGGCGTTCCGACTGGGTGAGCTGGATGCAGTGTAGCAGAACTGCGATGTTACATTGAGGCCCCTTTGAAATAACATGCCACGCCGCCGGCGTTTGGCTCAAGTTAATTTCGTCTCCAGGGAGAAAGGCTCCTAGCACATGATCATGATAGCGGGGCCCGTGGTTCGCCCCACGGGTTCCGCGCGGTTATCTCTGCGAAGCAGTCGCCTCGCTGCGATGACCGCGGCGGCAGCCGCGACGGCCCAGCCGAATCCTGGTACAGCTGACCCAGGTTTCGACGTGACTTTGCCCGAGGTCCAAGGGGGGTTGGTACAATTTGGGCACGAACCGATTCGCAGAACTGTGCAACGCCCGTTGCGAGAACGGAAATTTCACGTACGTTACCACCGCCCCAAAAACCATTCACGAAGGGATGATTTTACTTAGTCGAGCGCAGCGCCACGCTTGGTACCTGGACGGTTAACGATGATGGGGCACTCACGAAGTCTTAGATGAATTGCACTATGAGTGCTCCTCTGACCTCGGTCATCAGCCGCAAAGTTTATTGCGAGGCACAAATCAACAACTTGAAAAACCACGTTCAGACAGAACTCGAACATTAAGCGAACGCGTTGGACCATGCTACCACGATCGCCAAGGCTTCAATGACAAAGAATCAAAATAACTTTGCTAAAAGGGAATGTAACCTCGATGCTGATGATTACGCAAAGGTGGACCTGGTATGTCTTGAACGACAAACTGGAAGGGATTGAACCTCGTGAAAAAAAAAAAAAAAAACAAAGGGCTGGCATGAGGGAGACGACCGGATGTCTGACCAGAAAATGCACACGTTAGACTAGGCCGTTGCAGAAACCACACCCTCACACAACTTGAAACTGGCCATGGTTCCAGAAAAAATAACGACCTGGCGACACAGCTTGAACAGTGGCGTGCGCTGGTGGAGTCCTAGGAGAAATCTGGGTATGCATATTATTTACCATTGCCGTGCAAGGATACTGCTCTGAGGATCATCATGGCCCACGCAGATGATTGGATTGGCGAGTGGCCGCATGATTGCATTAAAACGCCAGGTTCGTTGAATATCCACACCTACCAGAAACTCTCCATCAAGAGCGAGGATTGGGCCAGACAGAAAAGACTGGGCGCCGACGCGGAAAAGGTTTCCATGGGAACTGGCCAACGTGGGGATGAATATGCTGGTGAATTAGGTACGAGTGTGAACGATTCCGGTTATCACGACGAGAAGGGACACGGGTGGATTTGGACCTTGGAAGACATGAGCGGCAACGGCGACATTCATGAGGCGGGCAAGGGAACAGCAAAGGTAATTGGCCCATGCGTTACAAGTGTGGAGGACATTGGCGCATGGCAACAAAAAGCGCGCCACCAAAGGGGCCGCAAAAGGAAAAGGAGGCGGAAAAGGAGACCTCAAAGGAACCGAGGGTTACCAAGGGGCGCAGAGAGGAGGAAGCAAAGGGGGATATCAAGGCACCAAGGTTCACCCGAGGGCGCTACGCCAACAGAGGCTACAAAGGAGATCCGCAAGGATAATGCCAACGGAGCCAATCCCCAGGCTAAGGCAAGGGAGGATTTGTGCCAATCAGCTAGAAGGAGCATTGCAAGCGCGGCGACAAGGATCGCATCGCAACCCGTTGCCGCAATAATGCCGACGCGGTCGCTCCATGTCAGGGGGTGCAGGGGGCGCCGGAGAGCCCGCGCAAATGTCAGGGCAACCCGTATTCGATTACACAGGACGCCCGGCCACGCCATTTGATTTGTGGTGCTTGCCGACGCCAGGGCGGGCTGAGGCATGTGGAAGTGCTGCTTAAGCACGGCCACTTACCAGGGAGGGCATATACGTTGTTCACCGCGAGAATGGTCAAGCACGCGCATGGGGCGATCCATCAGGGAGCGAGCTCGTCGATCCAGGTGTAAGCTCGGGAGGGGGATGGATCAATGTAGGAAGCACGAGGCCCATGAGAAAGTGGAGGAAGGTGAAGGCTGGGCTGCTACTGGCAAAACCTCCAGAGGCACGAGGTGGACTGGGCGATTGGAGCGTGAAGAAGGACTCAAGCTGTGGCTCATGATGTTAAGCGGGCAAACTTTCACGCCGAGGCCAAGAATAACATATTCATCTGGTTGCCCGAAGACGATCGTGAACTGGGCGCGCGTGGAAGATTCTGGCATTCGGGTCGCCAGCAACCTTGGGGAAATTGTGATGCGCATTTTGCGCGTGATACTAGTTTGACAACGGGACAGAATCACCATGTGCGTCCAACCTAATGTGACACGGCGAACTTGGCGAACATGGAGACGATTTGATTTCATTGGGCAATCAAGGGTTCCGATTTGTTCGAAGGATAATCCAACGATAAGATTGAAGTCGTAGTCTGGGACGGACACGGACCATGACCAACATATTCGATGTCACTCATGGCTCCCGACCGAATTGGGGAATGGGACCGAGGTGTTCTATATCACGAGGCGGATCACAAACATGCTGAGACATTTGCAGTGCAAGATGAGACGTGCTAAACTAGGAGTACAGCAGCCTTACGAAGAGAAATATTTGGAGCCCATGCCAAGCAATGGAGTCAAGAAATACCGGGCACAGGTGGCCAGAGGATACTCTTTGGCACAAGACTGTTTCGAGATACAGTTCTCTGTCAAGGAGCTCGCGCACTCTATGGCAGCCCCAACCTGGGGGGGCATCGCAAATACTTGCGAAATTGGGCAAGTACCTCAAGAATCACGACAGGTGTGGGCATCAGTATTTGCATCGAGAACACCCCGAGGAGTCAACCGCGTGGACTGACACCGACCATGCCGGTTGGAAGAAGACACGTAAGTCAACGAGCGGAGGAAACGCATTGCGGCGAATACATGTGAAAACTCGTAGAGTTCGACTCAGAGCGCAGTGGCGTTATCTTTTGGCGAAGCAGAGCGTCGCGGAATGGTGCAATGCGGCTCTGTAGCCTTCGGGCCACAATTAATTTTCAAGAATTGCGATGTTCATTGTGGCAGATCGTTAAAAAATGCCAGCGCAGCAGTTGCCATTGCCAGCAGGCGAGGACTAGCACGAGGTTTATCAGCTTTGGTAACGAGAAAGTACGACAAGGAGACAAACGTGACCAAAGTAGGAACTCATGTGAACCGTGCAGATGTGTTGACCAACCCTGCGAGCAGAGAAAGCATGCCCATGCATATGCGAGGCACCTATCAACTCATTGTAGGAAGAAGACACAAGTTGGCGCCCGCTACGGTGTGTTAGCTTAGTTCATATCCGGGTTATCATCGCGCGCCGTTTTGCCGGGGACTTGAGTTCAGGACCGGTTAAATCCAATTGCTCGTCTACGCGTTTTTTGATGTACAAAAACCTGCGTCGTTGAAACTGTTAATTCGTATGTGTGGCTTGCTGCTGTGCTACACTTGAAATCAGCGCGCCACTGTTAGGAATGTCTTGCACGTGCACGCAGAAAACATCGCCGCTCGCAGCAGTTCTGAGTCGAATTGTTTAGGTGCACGCCTTCACGTGCTAGAATGGAGCCTTGGCTCGCGTCTACGCGTTTAGACTCGCCACATGGCGTCTTATAGCTTCCGGCATCACATCCCCATTTTTCTGTGGCCCAGTTGCATATGTTTTTTATGTCTCACCCGTCTCCACATTCGGCGTACCAGCCGAAAAAGGGGGGAATGTGGCGTTCCAGCTGTGTGAGCAGGATGCAATTAAACAGTGCTGTGATGCTACTGCTAGGCCCCTTTGAAATAACATATCACGTCGCCAGCGTTTGGCTTCAGTTCCATCTGCCTCCAGGGAAAAAAAAAGGCCCTTGTCATATTCTAAGGAGGAAGACCACGACGACGAGGATGAGGACGCGGGAGAGGAGGGGAAAGAGGAGGGCGGGAGAAAAGGGAGGAGGAAGAGGAGGTGGTGGAGGACGTGGAGGGGATGGAGGAGGAGGAGGAGGAGGGGAAGGAGGAATGGGGGGAGGCAGGATGATGATTATGATGATGATGATGATGACGAGGAGGAGGAGGATAACAAGTGTAAATCCAAGACGCATCAACACTGTTGCAACGCACCACTTCCAAGTTTTCGTAGGCCCTCATAAGAATTGATTGTTAATCGGGGAAGCGCCTCATTAGAAGACAGCCGTATGCGAAATCACCAACGGTGGCAAAACACCAATCCTGGAACTGCAGCCCCGCATGTCAACGTGATTGCTGCTTATGGACAATCCGAAATCGTGCCAGGATGCCATTCCTCATAGCTCTTTTCGGAAACCTTGAAACTCTGAAAACGACCGCGCACGGCGCCAAGGCGAGAGCCACCTTTTGACAACCAACCGCCCTTTCACTGTACTGAGTCGTTTCGCGGTGCCCGCTGAGGCGAAATAACACATGATTTATTTGTGCTTCATGGGTCAAATGTGGAAACAAACCGCTCTCCATCCTCGAATCTGCTGCAGGTGGTTAAGACGAGTGTGCGCGGCGCTGAGGCGAGAACCACAATAACTTATACGACCGCCCC